GTCTCACAATATCGTAATCGTGTTACAATATGACATCAACATACATCGTTCAAATTTACACTCTAAAGTTACATAATTATCTTAAAGTTATATTTAGTTACACAAAATGATGTAGGTATTACTAATACCAAGTTTGCCATTTACGTTGTAGATGTTAAATTACATTGTTAAGATAGTAAATTATAGTTGAACGTTATTGCATTACATTTTAACATTCAAAATAAATGATATCGATACCGTAGACGGATAAAAATCACTCATGCAATACAATTTTGTTCAAACAATAATAATAAAAGAAGTCACTTATTGTCACATCCCGGCCCGGGCGGGACCACTTCCCGGGCCCGCTCCACCACCGTAACACGATATTGTCCGCTTTCGGCCCCAATCACGCCCTTACGGTTTTGTTTTTGGAAACTCACACGAGAACTTCCCAATAGATCACCCATCCTGGGAGTGCTCTCGCGCGCTACTCGCTTAATTTCAGAGTTCCCATGGAACCCGAAACCAATGAGCTCCCAAAAGGCCTCGTGCTAGGTAGGGATAAGAATATACATATAAGGATCACTCCCTTAAGCGATGTGGGATGTCACACTTATGCTAACATTACTAAAACAAGAAAGAAAAAAAAGATCTTCATCTTTCGCAAAGTCTGTCCTCATGAGAATGAGATGACTCAGATGAGTGATGGCTTAACCCTACTTCATCGTCAGTGTCGTCATCCTGCGTATAATCGTGCTCCTGCTCTACACGCTCATAGTCAATCACATCCATTCCGGGACGAGGTTCAATTTCTAGAACATCCCCTCCTGTTTTCTTCACCTTGAACATATAACTGTTATAAATATCTTCTGTTTCAACAGACTGCGAGTCGTTGTTTGAAAGAATAAATGATGGACACAACCAAACCTCCCATGTAATCAATACTTTAAGGCACTTCAAATATGATAGTTCCATCCTCATACGCGGCGTTGGCTAACCAGTTAGGCAAATCATTTCCAGAGAGAAAAATTCCACCAAAGTTCACCAACGAGTTATCCAAGCTTGGAACATCTTTGACTCTTTGGCAATCTTTCAAACCTCCCATGTAATCTATTTCTACTTGTGCTCAGTTTTTATTTTAGACTTGTAAGTTGTCTGCACGGTGTTGCTGTTAGGAACGGATCCAACTATGATGTATATTTAGCTAATGCATTGGTGAATCTCTATGCAAAGATGGGTTCTGTCAAAACCGCAGCTAGCTTGTTCTGGTCGCGGAGAAAAATGTTATTTCTTGTCGCTCCACGATTGCCTCTTTCACACGTAACAGGCAAGAACACTTATATGTATGAAAGGTGAAGAGAGAAATTTCAATGAAATGAGGTGGGTTATAGAACACTTAAGCCACCCCCTTAGATATGTCTCTAAGACGTGTAAGACACACACTCACATGTAAATTTATCTAATGTCACTGATTTGATAAGAAAATAAGTTATATCTTTAATTAAGGGCTCATTGTCATTGCTTCTCTAGAAAGTACTTCAGCTAGAAGTTCTTCTATTAACCACATTGAAATTTCATTAGAAATTCAAGTACTTTCTAAAAAACCACTTAAGGATGCTTTCCGAAAAGAAAAAGAAGTGGCGTATGCTTCTCCATGAACCGCTGCTTTGAGCCAAATGAACAATCTTAAACAGATTGCAAATTAGCGAGCATGGCTCGGCCCAACCTCTAATATTACTATTAGAACTTAGAAGCAATGAAATTGAGACGTAAAATCACGTTTTCATGGTCTTTACAGAGGAAAAAGATAGGGAATTATGACCTGATTGGGTAAGATTTATAAACAAGTTGCTTCATGCTTCATAATTGCATCAGTTCCTTAGCATTTTGTAGTAAATGTCTACGTACCTTCCTTACAAGTCTCTTTGCGGTGCTTTCCTTCAATTCACTGTTGTTTCTTCATCGTCAAAGCTTTCTGTAAACACGAAAAATTCCTGAAACAAGAACACGTGTACAAAATATATTTTGTATTAATTAATGATTTTGGGGTTACAATCTCTTTGTAATTTGACCATCTGATTCGATCTTTGTAAGGTGTTGATTTGTGGATGTGCGATTGATCCAAGGACCGTCGAGGCTTGATCTTGGATGAACAGTTTGAAGTTTCTTCAAGGGCCGTTGGGGCTTGATCTTGAAGGTTGAGGGAAGTTTCTTCAAGGGGCCTTCAGGGCTTGATCTTTGAAGGTTGATGAACGGCTCTTCAAGGGGGCTTTTGGGCTTGATCTTGAATAATGGTTGTGCGGATTTCTTTAAAAAGCTTTTGGGCTTGATCTTGAAGGTTGATGGATGAGCGGGTCTTCAAGGGCTTTTGGGCTTAATCTTGAAGAACGATTGGATGTGTGGATTTGTTGAGGTTGTTTATGCAAAGGGTCGTTGAGGCTTGATCTTAGGATGAACGGATGATGAACAATGAACACTTTCTTCAAGGGCCATTGGGGCTTAATCTTGAGTTGGTAGAAGTTCTTCAAGGGGGCTTTTGGGCTTGATCTTGAATAATGGTTGTGTGGATTTCTTCAAGGGCTTTTGGGCTTGATCTTAAAGGTTGATGGATGAGCAGGTCTTCAAGGGCTTTTGGGCTTAATCTTGAAGAACGATTGGATGTGTGGATTTGTTGAGGTTGTTTATCCAAAGGGTCGTTGGGGCTTGATCTTAGGATGAACGGATGATGAACGATGAACACTTTCTTCAAGGGTCGTCGGGGCTTAATCTTGAGTTGGTGGAAGTTCTTCAATGGGGCTTTTGGGCTTGATCTTGAGTAATGGTTGTATGGATTTTTTTAAGGGCTTTTGGGCTTGATCTTGAAGGTTGATGGATGAGCGGATCTTCAAGGGCTTTTGGGCTGAATCTTGAAGAACGATTGGATGTGTGGATTTGTTGAGGTTGTTGATCCAAAGGGCCATTGGGGCTTGATCTTAGGATGAACGAATGATGAACGATGAACACTTTCTTCAAGGGCCGTCGAAGCTTGATCTTGAGTTGGTGGAAGTTCTTCAAGGGTCGTTGGGGCTTAATCTTGAAGGAGGATTTGACGAAGAACGAAGAGTGCTTTCTTGATCCTTCGGGATTTGCTTGAGAGCTTTATAGTTTCAAGGCTTCAGGGTTTTGGTGTGATGTAAATTCCCCCTTTCCTCCTCTCTTGATGGAGAAGCCTATTTATGGGTTTTGAGAGTGAATCACCACCATCCATTTTTTTGGTGAAGTGAGTGGATGTTGTAGGTGAAATAAGTGGAGTTGGTAGGTGAAGTAAGTGTGTGATGTAGGTGAAATGAATAAATGTCGTAATTTTAATGCATTGGTTAACATTTATTTCACTGAAATTTCGATGTCTACACTTTCAATATTAAGATCAAACCTTAATGTTTTGCTTTCACCTTACGAACCTTGTCCCCCCTTTTCAGATTGAGCTTCCTGTTTGAAAGACTTCCCAGCCAAAGATAATCTTCATGGGAATCAGTTATGGTGGCATCCATTCACTGTAAGAATAAATCTGAACAATTCATCAATCTAAAAACATGGATACAACCAATTAAATCACAACTTCATTTAACCAAGAGATGAACATAAATGAGAAAGACTCGAGAACTTTCCTGCAGAATTGGAACCAGATGAAGAAGCCATTGCGACTTCACAGCTTGCAGCCTTCTCCTCTTTAGCAAATCACAATGGTTTTTCCAAACAATAGGACTTGGAATGCTATAAAACCGTTCCTTGCAAGAGCAGTGGCATAAGCCTTTTATAGTACTCCTTTTGTCATTCCCTATCAGAATAGACTTAGGATCCGAATCTCACAATTGATACAACATATCAATCCTAAACGTGTTCCATTACCGAGTTTTAATCCCACAAGGATTACTCAGAATCTCACAATACTTATTCCACAAGGAAACCAAATAAGTTATAGCTTTTGACTTAGACTTTTCATATCAATCTTAACCACAAGAACTAATTCCTTCCATAATTCATACTCATAAACTTACATTCACCAGATGAAAAATAAGTTCGCTTGGTAACCACATCAAGGCATAGAGACCCACTACACTGGGATGGTCCGAAGAATAAACAATGCACACAGCCAACCCTCCTATATAATCAAAACTTGGCAGCACTTCAAATTTGACATTTTCTTCCTCTCTCACGACATAGGTTAACGATTAAGGAATAACATTTCAAGAGCAACAAATTCCACCAAATACATCCCCCACATTCCATTTCTACAACACGGCGTGCGAAGTTTGTATAAGCAACAATATGAGAAGGGCAGTGAAAGAGAGAGAGAGAGATCAAGGCTATCATGCAACAAAATATAAAAACTCATCTAGGACAATTATGACTATTGTGAATTGGTTATATTATAGATGCATATGTTATATGATCTTCAAACTCGCTATAGCTTGACTATTTTTTTTTCCGTATCCTTTTCGTCAGCTTCATTTGTTTTTCTGTTAAGTAGAGATGATAAACTTAAAATTCATCCCACAACCTAAAAAATGGAAAGAAAAAAAAAAGGAGGTGGATGTACAAAATCCTTGCTATGCCCTCTATATTTAACAGTAAAATAAGTTGAGTTAACGCATATAATTGAAGTACCACATGAGATTGAGTTTGAGAACCACAATAAGAAAAAAAGAAAAACAATTCTAGAATGAAGGTAAAATTCGTGTTCGAGACAACAACGCCGTATATCTGAAAAATAGTTCAAGTAGATTAAGATGTTAGCAGACAATCGTTTATCTCATTTATTGAACAAACGACGAGGACAACAATATCGTTTTCTCTCTTTCTAAATTCATAAACAAAAAAATTGAGATTTTTTGTTTTCACAAAAATTACCATAAATTTTGACAGAATTGACGGTTGAATTATAAGTTTAGCAAGCAAATTGAAAATAATCACAGGAGCTTAGAAAATACCACATCAACATTTCGCAAGCAGTTTCATAAGAAATCCCAATCAAGACAAAACCATTCAACAATTTATTAGATTTCTCCTTTCATATAAGAGCATGGTTCGGAGGATTAGAGTGCGTTTCAACCTGCCTTCTATAAAAGCTATAGGCCACAGCCACTGTTGTCCACTGCTCCAACCACGGCAGCAGCTGCAAGAACATCGTTTTGCTCCCAGTTCCTGATCAAGCTTGACAGCTTCCCTAAGGCATCCATCCTGGCACACACCTCTGTGGTTTCTTTCGGCTTCTTTTCCTCACTTCAACCGTTCTCCTCCAAACTTACTTCTTTGCAGCATGTAAATCCATCATTATTAGCATCTTGGCAACAACCTGAAATGTTCTCATTATTCTCAATCTAATTGCCATTTTCTTGGTGAATCTGATTGCCATTATCTTGTGGCTTCTCCTCGATTTTCTTATTTTCTTCTCCATTTAGAAGCTTCCGGTCATTAATTTCTTCAGCTGTAAGAGTAAACAAGTATTCAATATAACCACCAGGAACACAAGGATTGATCAAGCAAATCACAAATCTTGAACTATGTAAACAAGAAGCAAATAAGATACAAAACATGTTGATCGAAACATACCTGCAGACATGTTTGTGGATGTAGAGGCCATATGTAATCTGCACACAACCTTCTTCTCTCTGCAAAGCACAATGCTCTCCAATTTATAGGCTATTGGAACAATATGAGCGATACCTTTGTGAGAGCAGGGATTGTGATTTTATACTACAAGTTCCTGAACTACGTATAACAATCCTACAAGGAATATGAAACTAAATCCTTGTATAATCATGAGTACTAAACTCATGTCCCAAAGCAGAGCTCTAATCCAAAACCAAATAGAATTCACTCTCATAAACATATTGAGACTTCTTTATGTTAATCCACAGTAACTTAACCGTGTGAAAACATACTCACATTCCTACATCAGCTTCATCAGAAGATGCTCCCATTTGGCACCTGTAAGGAATGAAATTGAGTTTCGTGTTCAGCTATTTAAAGATTCAACTCTAGGTTTCGTCAATAGCAATAGAGTAAGAACAGGTGTGATCTAGCTTAATAAACAATTTGACGACAATTAATCAGAACAACATTACAAATCAGAAACATATACAGGTTAATGCAGTTATATCCAGATTCCTCGATATTAATGTAACTCTATATCAATTAATCTATCATATAAGACTAGACATAATCAGCAATTGAAAAATATGACAACACAAGCTTCCGTCCAGTGAAATTTTCATCCAAAGACAGTAGGCAAAACCAAAAATGTACAAACCTCCAATGTTTTCTATAATCTCTCCCTTCCCAATATGCTCATCAAGCAATTTCGGCACATAACCAGGAAAAAAGCAGCCATACCTGCAATTAATAATACATAATATTCAAACTCCTTCATCGATCCCAATACGATAAATTTTAAACTGTTAGGGTCCAGATATTACCAATAGCCTGTTATGCTTTCATTACTGTAACACTTGTACCGCTTTGTGTTTCAGTCACACTAAGAAATCTCTCTTAAACATGGGCTGTAGGTAATCAAGTTTCCAACATACTTGTGGCCTCCAATGTGAGAGCAAGCAGTAACAAATACCTGATTCGTCAATCCTCGCAACCCAGCCTCCTCTTTGAACTTATCAATGAGATCACGTGCCCAAACACGATACCATTCATCTCGACTCATATGTGCGCATATAAATACATGGGGCCCAGTCCACGGCTCTTGCACTCCAGAAGCCCATGGTTTGTCATTCACAAGGACATCATCAACAAAGCTGTCCATATCCAACTCTTTCAAGCCCCTTTGATCAAGAAACAAAAACAACCCCAAAATCACAAAAAAGAATTTACAGGAAACAATAACCTAACACTCTTTAATTTCTTGTAAGGCAAGGAATTAGTCGTAAACTGAGCCATTAAATTCAAGGGATGTGATATCCACACACCATTTTTTACTTCTCACACATCCTTCTAATTTTTCGCCGTTGGATTAGATAAATTGAAGAATATCAAATGACATAAATTAACATAGGTTACGTGAGAAGTACCCGCACACCCCAAATTCAATTTCTAGAACTAATTTCAGAAGCTAACACATATCTAATTATCTATGGAATGGGCCCTCGATTATGAATTAATTACGGTTTGCCATTTTGTGTGTTAGTGTGGGCCATGCTTAACAGCTGGGTTAGGCTGCTGCATTTGGGCCCAGGGTGTAGCTCTCACGCATTTTGGGTGAAACATTTGGGGTGTCTGTGTTCTGCAACTCGGTGGGGGGTGGCGGTCTAGGTTGCTTTCGATCGCGTCAAGGAGATTGCGCAGAGAGGCAGAGGGTGACATCGAGTTTAGGGTTTGCACAGTGAGAGACAAGAGGGTTGATGGGAAGGGTAGGAGCTAGAGAGGGGGGTGGTGGGTTCTCTTAAGGCTTTTCCTCAACCTGGGTTCTCTGCTTTTATCTTTCGTTTCAAGATTTGGTTGAAATAGATAAAAAAACAATGCATGCACTCAAGGTTTTGTTAGGACTCTTTATTGAGTTTCAGAACTTTTCTCTCTGATTTTCTGATTATTTTCTCAACTATTTCTTACCAATTTCCTTTGAAATTTGTGCGTGTGTATTTGTTAATGCTGTGTTTCTTCGTTTTTATAGGAAATGGAATTGCTTTCTTCCTCTTCTTGGCAACCACGTATGCCCTCTCTCTCTCTCTCTCTCTCTCTCTCAAATTCTTTCATTTGGGGTCTAAGGTGATGCCTTTTTGCCTTAAATATCATTTTGTTAAATGGCTTATGATATTTTGATTCTCTGCACATTCTGCATAGGTTCAAAAAGCAAAATCTCTCTCTCTCTCTCTCTTGCTTTTTGTGGCTAAAGATCATGTATATCTTTTGGATAATCAAAAAGCTTGAATCTTTACTAGGTTTCTTCAAATTTATTTGAATTCTACTTTGTGATTTTGGTTTAGAAATGTGTAGAATTACAGTTAAGAGGATCATAAGGAAGAGAAGCACATATCAGTTCTCAGGCATTCCATACATAATGACCATGCTTAACTGCTTACTCTCCACTTGATATGTTGATTTGCTTCTCACTCCTTCAACTACTCTCTCTCTCTCTCTCTCTTGCTTTTTGTGGCTAAAGATCATGTATATCTTTTGGATAATCAAAAAGCTTGAATCTTTACTAGGTTTCTTCAAATTTATTTGAATTCTACTTTGTGATTTTGGTTTAGAAATGTGTAGAATTACAGTTAAGAGGAGCATAAGGAAGAGAAGCACATATCAGTTCTCAGGCATTCCATACATAATGACCATGCTTAACTGCTTACTCTCCACTTGATATGCTGATTTGCTTCTCACTCCTTCAACTACTCTCTCTCTCTCTCTCTCTCTCTCTCTCTCTCTCTCTGCTGTGTATTGCCTCATTAGATATTTACATTTGTTTATTTATCTCTGTAAAGTTTTCATGCTTGGATTTTAAATGTATGATTCAATTAGAAACCTTTGTAATGTTGATGTTATATAACATTCAACAGATACATATTCAACATTAGGTAGCTCTGGCAAAATCATATAGACTAAGATTTGTAATACTACATTCTACTCTTACATGTTAACATCAGAAAGCAGACTAAGATAGATCCAAACCCAATCTTATTAATTAAAGTTAACGGAAAGAAAATGATTTATGCATACCTTTGTTTATTTGCTACTTGATTTTGGTTTAGGTTGACCATAGCTAAAACATCCAAGACTCACCTAATACCTAATTTGAGGAAGACCCTATCGTTTTTAGCCTTTAGGTGTGTGTTTGCTAGCTAGCTAGCTGGGTGGTGGCTGAGTCTTGGATGTCTTCATTATCTTGGTGGGTGAGTCTTGGATGTGTTGGTTCCTGTCTTCTTCGACTCTTATATCTTCCCTTTTTCTGAATTTTTTTATTTCTCATCCTTTAAATTTTGTATTTTTTGAAAAAATATTTATTTTTTTGGTGATGCAGATAGATGAACATGTTCAAGGGGAAATCATGAACCACAGATCACTGCATCCGAATATCATTTGATTCAAAGAGGTCAGTGATCATAAACTATTTTCATTTTGCATTTTAAGAATGAATTTGACAAGTTCTGTTTGAATTTTGTATAAGTATCTGCTGAGGGTGGGTGGATGAAGACAGAACATGCTAAATTGTGCTTAAACTGGTACGGGGTATGGTTAAACATTGAGCCCAGGATGCAGTAGGACTAAGAGAAATGCCCTACCCACCGGAGCAATCCACCACTTGCAGAATTGTTGTCAAAATAACTCTGCTAAAAACATGAGCTATACTTCCTGCACTTTGTTTTTTACTGTGAAGTGGAAATAGTCTTTAGAGTGGCTTATTTGTGATAATTGATAAAGAGGTTTGTGTTTAAGACTTGTTAGTTCCTGCACTCTGCGGTGTCTTTCTTGCTGGTTCTGCTCACACCACCTCATCTAGCCATTGTGATGGAGTACTCGGCTGGGTGAGAACTCTTCGAGAGAATATGCAGTGCTGGCAGATTTAGTGAGGATGAGATAAAGTAGTTTCAAATGCACAGAAAACTTCATTGGAATGATTTTAGTGTAGAGTCTCAAATATGGGATCTCTGAATGTCCCCTGAAATGGAATCCATCTCGATTTTCCTTTAGTTTCAGATAGGGAAAGTTAGGTCTGAAGCATTTTTACATAAGCAGTTAGTCATAATATAACTAAAACTTGCATACTTTTTCGATTTAATTGTTGTTTTGCATCAGGCAAGGTTTTTCTTCCAGCAGTTGATATCAGGAGTTAGTCGCTGTCATTTGATGGTATGTAATGTGGCACTTTTCTGCTAATGCGTTGTGTACTGTTATTTCTTTCTCTTTTGATATTGTTAGTGTTGGTTGTAGTAAGGAAATAATTCGTTTCAATAGTATACGACTTAGTTTTAATAGTATATGACTCAGTTTTTGAATAGCACTCGGGTGGGAACGTGGGTCGGCTCATGTTTTAGTCTCTCCGTCGTAAGCAATTTTACATGGCATTTTTCAATGTAGCTATAAGTAAGACAACACTCTCAGTATTCCATAATCAAACCACCATTTGAACTTTTTTCATCCACCAAGTTAAGCTTTTATGTGCCATCTTGAATAATTATAAGTTATTGCTTCAGATTACTCCAGTGCGACATTGTTGTTCTCTTACTCACGTCTAAAGCTTGCTTAATATACTTATTCTTATTACTGTTGTATTGTTAAGAAATACTCAACTGCAGTTTCAATTCATCGTTATGAATTGGATTAAAATTAAACACCCACTGGTTAATTATCCAAATCCTATAAATTCGGATTAAAATTAAAGCAACTATAGAACAAAAACCTCAAGAAATCAACGTGAATTTACCTGTATTTGATCATTTGTGGGAAAATCAACACATCGCCGTCGGAAAACTTAGTTCCTTCGCGTCCTTCAATTACTGTCAGCAACATCTATCAAAAACCAAGAAAAAAGTGAGTAATGGAGTCAACTCAATTCAACACTAGAACTTAGTAGCTTCAGGAAATAAGAAAATGTAAGAAAAAAGCAATCAGAAACGCCGACGAATTGAGCTGGAAAACGGACCTTAACATTGATGTCGTTCTTGCGAGCTTTGAGAGCGGATGTGATGAACTTAGGGAGTGGATCGGACTCAGAGCCTTTGATGCACCACGGCCAAGCCTTGGGGGTCTTGTAGCAAAGGAAAATGTGGCGATTGCTCGATTGTCTATCGTCATCAGTGTCTTCATCAGACTCATATGACATAGTACTATCTTCATCAGACTCATATGACATAGTCTCATAGTCGTCCCAATTAGTACCACCATCAGACAAATCCCATTTTACAATATCCACTTCTGTTTTGTTCACCTTAATTCTATTATCTTGTCCATAAAATTCTACTGTTACAAGAATCGTGTCGTCGCCTTTCAGACTGAGCTTCTTGTTTGAAAGATTTCCCAACCAAAGATAATATTCATGGGAAGCAATGACGGCGTCCTCCATTGGCTAGATGTGAGTACAATTAACAACATCAATGGATAGAAACCCAGTATTGTCGGAGTTGTCCGAAGAATAAACGATGCCCAAAGCCAACCCTCCTATATAACCAATACTTGGCGGCACTTCAAATTTGACAGTGTCATCCTCTATCGCAACATAGGCTAACCGGTTAGGAATATCATTTCCAAAGAGAAAAATTCCACCAAATGCATTTTTCTACACCATGGGGTGCAAAGTTAATATAAGCAACAATACAAAAAAGCAGAGCGAGAGAGAGTACCATACCGTTTGGAGGTTCTCCTTAAATGTATCAGTGAGACTGGTACACCCTTCCATATGAATTGAATTCATGTAGTCCAATGAGTTCTCCAAGTTTGGAATATCTTTGAGCTTGCGGTAGTCTTTCAGTTCCAATTTCCTCATTTTTGACATCTCTGAAAAGTGAAAAAAAAATCATAATATACGTATTGGAATCTGGAAATTAGAAAGTAATCATAATAAAATTGAGACGTGAAAGTTTTCAAGGTGTTCACGAGAGAACCAAAATGAAAACACTTACTCGATTGGGTTAGACATGGGCTCAATAGAACTTATGGTCTCAAACACTGCAAGTAACCAAATTGGACATGAGTCTTATGACCCATCACTCCATCAGAGCCCATTAAATTATGAGAATTGCACCCGCGTGTTATTCACATTTTAGTGTAGTGACACCATCGACTTCTGAAAGAATAATAATACTTGATTACTTATTGAAGAGGGACGTCGAGTATCCAAATTACTTACCCAATGAAATGATTAATAAGAATTTAACACGTGTAATTAATGAAAAAGAACCAAACCCAGTGACGACCCAAATTACACGAGAGATTTTTCAGAATGATTGTCATACGGAATGGCACATCACGTGTCGTTATATAGACAGTGGAATATGTGTGTTAAAAACTTAATTACTTGAAAAATAAAATTTCACACCACTTACATACAAACATGTGATGTACCATCTGTCACAATTAAAAAAAAAAAAAAACTAATGAAAATGGTTTGAAAACTTTGAACTGTAATGATAAAAACAAACTAAATGATAAAGTAAATAATATCATATTTGATATTTTAATGAAAAAAGTTTTTTATTAAAGTTAACCTTTTAGTTTCTAAATTACACGTGCCGCTCACTGAAATGATCAGAGTTCTGACTTTCATTTCTTGAAAGCCAGCTGCACCAATTGGTAATCGATGGATACCAGCAGCTCCGCCCATGGAACCGCCCTCGCAGCCTCTTCGTCTTCCCTGTGCCGCTCAAACCGCTAGAAGTACGAGGTGTTCCTGAGCTTTAGAGGCAACGACACACGCACTAACTACACAGACAACCTCTCCAATGCGTTACGCTATGCCGGAAGCAACACGTGTATAGACTACCAGCTCAGAAGGGGGATTATATACAGAGCGAACTTGACCGATAAATCGAAGGGTCCAGAATCACCATCGTCGTCTTCTTCAAGGGGTACGCGGAGTCCCAGTGGTGCTTGAGGGAGCTGGCCTAGATCATGAGGTGCGGAGAAGATCAAGAGGGCAAAATAGTCTGTCCAATATTCTATGCCGTTGTGAGGAAACAGAGTGGTGGTTTTGGGGAAGTTCGGAAGCATGAAAGCGATGAAAATCCAAACGAACAAGCAGTGGAGAAAAGATCTTAAGGCTTCTTTCCGGCGGACGGGTATACTTCCTTCTTCAACTCCTTTTTTACACTTTTTTTTTATGCTCAAATTTACTCACTTATAATTTACTCAAATCTTCTTTGCTCAGAAAATATCTGGTCATGATGAATGAGGCATTTAGTTCATATGAATCTTGCAGTTGCATGATCAATCTTACTTTTGCATAATTTTGAAATTTAATTGCCAGGCGTGAAGGGTTGTTTATTGAGGAAATTGCTAGGACATCAGAGGACTACTGATAACAACAGACTTAAAACAAGCCAAGTGCTCAGTTGGAATGGATTTTCTTGTGCAATAGTTCAGTACTGAATGCTTAGATGTTGGAGATTTGCTTGATGTTCAAATAATTGGAATTTGGGGTATGTGCAGTATAGGTGAAACAACACTTGCGAGAGCTATCTGTAGCGAATATCATCGTTGCTTTAGTGGTCAATGTTACCTTGAAAAGGTGAGGAGTAAAAAAGAAAAGTATCGTTGCTCTGCAATAACAACTTCTTCGAGGTGTTTTGAAACGGCTGGACATTAATGTGAGCAGTGTTGCTGAAGGAACCAAAGAGATAGAGAAAAGACTTGGAAGCATGAAGGTGCTTGTCGTCGTTGATGGCATAGATGATGCTGACCAATTAGATGAATTGGCGATAAAACATGAATCAAATACGTTTGTTTAAGATTCCAGCCACCCAAATCTGCAGAAGCCTTAAGATCCTTTCTCCACTGCTCGACCTCATTTGGATCTTCATCCCTTTCATGCTTCCAAAATGCATCTCCAAAAATACTACTATTTCCTCACTTGAGAAGGGTCGGCGTCGTACAATATCGGATAGACTACTTTCCCCTCTTGATCTTATTGGCACCTCATGATCTTGGCCAGCCTCTTTGAGAAGACAGACGACGGTATTCCTCGACCCTTTGATTTCTTGGTCAAGTTCACTCTGTGTGTTTTCCCCTCTTCTGAGCTGGTAGTCTATGAGCGTGTGGATTCCAGCATTGTGTAACGCAATGGAGAGGTGGTCTGTGAAGGTAGTGCGTGTGTCGTCGCCTCTAAAGCTCAGGAACACCTCGTACTTCCAGTGGTTTGAGTGGCACAGGGAAGACGAAGAGGCTGCGACATCGGTTCCATGGGCGGAGCTGTGGTATCGATAATTAGTACTAGTGTTGGGAGAAATAGAGGAGTGCAGCAGGCTATGCGGCTTGGCTTTCACATAGCCAAAGTCAAGTCAAACTTCATCGCCTAAGTATTATAGAGAAACGAAATGCGTGGATTTATATGAATATACACGCGTATGGCATTGCATATATTTATTACAAAATATGGTAACACTTAATTTTTTATGTGTGAAGTAAAATATATGAATTTCTTACATTGCGTTGTTTGTTTGTTTATACATATTGTGAAATTTTTATGGACATAGTACTATCAGTATTTGTCACTATCTTTTATAAAATTTTATGTGTGAAGTAAAATATATGAATTTCTTACAAATGCACTACCTTTTATAAAATTCATTACCAATTCTAATAAATTTTTATGTAGTGACTAAAATTACAGTTCTATCATAGTTCAGGGACCAACGATCCAATTTTTCTTATAACATATAAAATCAGATTCAATGCCTTAATTATAATATCTTAATTTTGGTTAATTAGTGAAATATGGCGATATGAAATTTGAAGTAAACAAAAAAGTATACCCGTCGGCCGTGGTTTTGAGGTTCCAGCCGGCCAAATCTGCAGAAGCCTTAAGATCCTCTCTCCGCTGCTTGACCTCATTTGGATCTTCATCCTCTTCATGCTTCTGAAATGCTTCCCCAAAACTATCTTTCTGTTTCCTGACTTGAGAAGGGTCAACGTCGTAGAATATTGGACAGACTATTTTCCCCTCTTGATTTTTTAGGCACCTCATGATCTTCGACAGCTCCCTCAGGCACCATCGGGACTCGGCGTACCTCTTTGAGAAGACGATGACGGCGATTCTCGACCCTTCGATTTCTTGGTCAAGTTCACTCTGTATGTTTTCCCCCCTTCTGAGATGTTTGTCTATAAACGTGTTAATTCCGGCATTGTGTAATGCAATGAAGAGATGGTCTGTGAAGGTGTTGCGGGTGTCTTCACCTCTAAAGCTCAGGAACACCTCGTACTTCCACCTGTTTGAGCTCCGCGAGGAAGACGAAGAGGCGGCAGCGGCGGCTCCATGGGCGGAGCTGCTGGCATCCATTGCAGCCTGTAGAAGTGCAGCTTGACTTTCAAATAACCAAAGTCAATCTTTCCCAAGATTCCCCAGTGTAGGCGGCCCTTTTAAATTTTTTGCATATGCCAATGATGTCACTGCCGTGTCGATAACGCGTGAGTGCTATTCCTCCCACAATTTAATTTGTATAAATTTTACCATCAAATTTAAAAATTAAAATTGTATAACTGCTTTACGATGCAATTTCCTTTCTTTTGTAGTTTTAAGGGTGGTGCGCAGGTAGCTTCAACTGCGGCTGCTGGTGGACGTCATGCCAGCGTTCTAAGAATCTTCGGTGCAAAGCAGGTTCCAACTGTTGGAGTCAGTCTAGAGAGTATTAACGGGAAGAGACCTCATCTCCAACAACCTATCTTAACAAAAGATGCAGAAAATTAAGCTCCAACAGGCTAAATAAATGACTATCTATCTTTACTTCGTACACAGTAACTAAATAAATTTAGCCAGGAAGAGACTGTCGTAGCTTACGTCAAAAGGATCAATGTCGAAAAATAAGTAATTTACTTGCATAAAATAAGGATTAATTTAGCTGCGAAAACAAGGCGATGATTGAGCTCACGATAGCAGCTTTTTGGATCCTATCGTCTTGCAAGGGAAACAAGCTACCAATTGCATCACATGGAACTAATAGTTGAATCTTTCGATCAAGATTATGCTGGAGGCATCGGTGTACAAGCCAAACTCGACAGCATAGCCACTTTATGATGAGTCGATATTATACTATATATTTTACCCTAATCTTAGTATTAATTTATCCATTATTTTAGTAAAATTTTGATACTTTGATTTATATTCTTAATGTATGACATTTGACTTCCTTTGGAGCAAAAAGTGATCAAATAGATGAATTTTGGAGTAATTCCAATTGGAGGATGTTCGTGAGTCTTTCAAGATGATTGTATTAGAATTCCATATTTTTCTACTAAGCCGTTTGACCGTGGCGATAAAATTAAGGCCTAGCGCGCAGCTTTCTTAGATTAATGTTCTGGATGTTCTGGATGTTTCTGGGTATTTTGGAGGTCAATATGACATATTTTGAGGAAGATTCATTTTGAGGATTTGTAGAGAACGTCTTCAGCTTTCAAAAGAGACATTTTGGGACCAAATCGGGGCTGATTTGGTCGGTCAAAAGTCTAATTTTCTGAGAAGTTCGAATTTTAGTTCAAATTGGAAACCCTTTTATTTTCTGTTTTTTTTTTTATTCTATTAAGTTTCCTAGTTTTAGTCTAAGACTTTTTAGGGTTTTATTTTGTATTAGTATAAATAAGATATTTAGCCATTAGGGTTAAAGAGAAGAGGGGATAAAACGCACGCACACTTTAGAGAGCTTTTGGATTCAAGTTTATTTTTCAATGTGTTTTCTATCCTTGTTTTTAATAATATTTTGTTGTATGATTGTTAGTAACTAATTTCCGTTTGCTAGGGTGAGGCCACGAGCCTTAACAAGAATATGTAGTTTCTTTTCAATTTGCTTATGATATTATGCTTGCAGGTTTGAATTATTAATCACCGGTTTAAACTATCTACTTATCTTAATGCTCAGCTACCATTAGGATCTTTAGAATAGTAATTTGATGCAATTTTGGTCGGAGGTCGGTCCTTGAAATTGACGAAGGCTTCTTGTGATTAATATGTGCAAGTTCACTTAAGATGATACCACATCTTAAGGGTTGTATGGTTTTTCAAAAGGTTTCACAAAACTTAATGAGTCATGCATGTTTAGATTTGATCTGAATATCATAGACAGATTGCATGTTTGATATACGCTCTATGTTGGGGGTCCAAGTAGGCATATATTAGGAAAGCTAACCTTCAAAATATGCATGTGTAATTCATAAATCATTGGAAGAATTACATAAGATTGTTAAGATGGCTGCGGAACCCTAGGCTTTTACAATTTAATTTTCATAAACCGTTTTCTCTTAGCTTATTTTATTTTGTCACTTTATTTAATTATTTTCTATTAAATTCGTTTTTATTATTTGAAATCAAAAATCAACTTTTTATCAAACTTTGTTTTTAATAATTAATTAAGATTTGATTTAACACAAATGATTCATTCAATCTTTCTGAAGAACGACCTTGTTAGAGCCGACTACACTACAATTACCTTATACTCTTGCAAGTATGTTAGTGTTTTTATCTATACTTTTACAGGTGGTAAAAATCCCTATCACTTTACACCACCTCTCGACCTGCCATCACACTATTCCGTCTCCAGTCTCTTCGGGCGTAGTGTTTTCGTTGTTACAAATAATCCACGGCTTGGAAATATCAAGCCAACTGGTTGAGAAGGCAATTGCGCTACTTGACGAGATTGTTTCTTCATCGTAGACTGCGCTCAAGGAAACTGCAGGTACATGCGACACAATCTGGGCGCTGGTGGAGACAATTGCGGAGGAATCGACGAAATGCAAGGAGCACACAGCAAGTATCTTCCTGCTTATATGCCAGAGAAGTACAGAGGACTGATTCTGAGGAAGGAGCAATGAGCATGGATGGGACGTGGACGCTAAAGCCACGGCACAGGAGTTGCTGTTTCTCTTGAAAGACTCTTCCAATTATGGATCGAGAAACAAGCAGTCGAGGAACAGGGCTATAGAGCAGATTAGGCAGGACATTGATGCGGGAGGAGAAAAAGTTGATGGGATGAGTACAACGGTATTGAGGCTGGTGGAGGAGATGCTTGCAAAGATCAGCAGTGGACGATGATCTCGACCAAACTCTGAGCATTACCATCTACGATGATGCCGCCGCCTTTTTCTCTCTTTTGAAATTTAGACTTCTTTGACAAAAATTATCATAAATTTTGAATCGACGGTTGAATTAAAAGTCCAGCAGGCAAATAAAAAACAATCACAAGAGCTTAGAAAACACCACATCAAAGCAGTCTCATAACAGATCCCACTATCAAGATAAAACCATTCAACAGTATATTGGAACAACAAATCAGTTGTGTAAGCAATCAACTACGGAAAGGAATAGTGAATACTTTTGTAACTATATACGGCTTAGCTCCAGGAAATCATCCCACCCTCCAAAAACGAACGTACAGTGTAGCTACCATATTCTCCTTTCACATAAGAGCTTATTTAACTGACGTTATAACATCTTTCTACAAAGAAAAAAAAATATATAGGGCCTCTACACCGTGGCAGAACCCGACATGGATTAGAGTACGTTTCAGCCCGACCTTCTATAAAAGCTATAGGCCACGGCCACTGTTGCCGCTGCTCCAACCACGGCAGCAGCTGCAAGAACATCGCTTTGCTCCCAGTTCCCAATCAAGCTTGACAGCTTCCCTAAGGCATCCTTCCTGGCACGCGACTCTCTGGTTTCTTTCAGCTTCTTTTCGTCACTTCCACCGTTCTCCTCCAAACTTACTTCCATCATGTAAATCCATTACTATTAGCACCGTCGCAACAGCCTGAAAAGTTCTCATTTTTCTGAATCTGATTGCCGTTTTCTTGGGGCTTCTCCTGGATTTTCTTACTTTCTCCTCCATTTGAAAGCTTCGGGTCATTAATTTTTTCAGTTTCATCAGAAGATACTCCCATTTGGCCCCTGTAAGGAATGAAATTGAATTTCATGTTCAGTTATATAAAGATTCAACTCTAAGTTTCGTCAATAGCTATTGAGTAAGAACAGGTATGATCAAGCTTAATAAACAATTTGACAACAAACATTACAAATCAGAAACATATACAGGGTAATGCCGTTATATCCAATTCGTTAGATCTGCTTCGCTTTCTCTGTAAAGTACCTACTTGACCCCATCACCCCGTTCCCCAAACGACCCCTGGTTTGGTTTATCAACAAAAAAAGGTAGTTTGATTTGGTTCCTCGATGTTAATGCAACTCTATATCAATAATCTATCATACAACACTAGAAATCAGCAATCAAAAAATATGACAGACGCTTCAGTTCCAATGAAATTTTCATCAGAAGGGGGTAAACAAAACCAAAAACGCACAAACCTCCAAAGTCATTCAATGATCTCTCCCTTCCCAATATGCTGATCAGGCAATTCTGGCACATCATCAAGAGTGACATAGCCATACCTGCAATGAATAATGCATAATATTCACATTCCTTCATCTATCCCAATACGATGAATTTTAAATTGTTATGATCCGGATATTACCAATGGCCTGTTATGCTTCCATCTGAACCTGGGCTGTAGATAATCAAGTTTCCAGCATATTTGTGGCCTCCAATGTGAGAGCAAGCAGTAACAAATACCTGATTCATCAATCCTCGCAGCTCAGCCTCCACTTGGAACTTATCAATGAGGACAGGTCCACAAACACCACATCTATTATCTCGACTACCATGTGCACATACATTACATGGGAGCCAGTCAACGCCTCTTGCACTCCAGAAGCCCATGGTTTGTGATTCACAAGGAAATCATCAACAAAGCTGTCCACATCCAACTCTTTCAAGCCCCTTTGATTGAGAAACAAAAAACAACCTCAGAATCACAAAGTTAAAAATCCCCCATCAGATATCGCTAACACGCCCATTTAGTAATCACGAATACTTATCGAAAACCAGCCAACAACCTTCACTAAGTTTTTGTGCTGCACTTTCGACATCATTGCCACTTCCCTCGCAAACCGCACTTCTCTCTTGGCAATCTGCTCTGGGGTTTCTCCTCTATGAACAATTTTTACAGCAACATCTTGATTCTTATATCGAGAACAAACAAAACGCAACAAACAAACAGATTAAGAACACAACAGAACAGAACATCATCTTTGTAACTCGACACGAAAAACACATATTCGGCATCATAAACACCATGCAAAAACCCAACTCAATTTTGCATTTATATTTAACAAGATCTAAGATATCGTATTAAATTGCTAAACTTGAGAGACCAGAAATTAAGAATCTAAGACAAAACAAACACAGACGTTGTACTTACTTTCCTTCGTACACTTTGGCATGCGCGCCTTCCCCAATCCTCGTACCAACAAAAAGATGTTTTTGATCGATCAGCCACTTGGCATCCAAATCGAAATCCGCAACTGAATAAACCCCATTACCAGATCCCATAATTTTCTCTCTCTAAAATTCTAAAACAAGAACAACATACACTGACTAATTAACCAAAACAAAGGATACCCTTTATTTGTAGGACTACATTTGAAGTAAACATGGAAGCCTTGGTCTAGATAAAAATGAATAAAAATGGAAAAAACTAATGAATTAAGGAGACTTTGTATGATTGAAGAGGGAGAAAGATTAAGGCTTTCTATAATAAAAGGACTTGCTTGGTACTGTAGGTTTCAGAAAACAGACCCATCCCCGGAATCACGGTTGTGGATCCTACAAATATAGGGTGTCTTTTGTTTAAGGGGCAAAGAATAAAATCCCAGAGGCACCCACCAACAACCCCACAATTTTAAAATGGCCACTGATGAGAACTCTTTCAGTGGGAGTGGATTAGATTTATGATTGGGAATTCGGGAGAGAGAGAGGAAATCAGTAGAAGAGCAAAGCAGATAGAGTTGAGCAAGGCAGATAAGGATGAAACTGAGAGGATCCAGGTGGGGAGATTTGGGAATATGGTGGCGGCGACGGTGGCGGTGGGTGGGTTGGAAAGTGAGTTCAGTTGAGATTAATTTATTGGCCTTCTCCGCGTGTGGAATATTACTGTCCTGTCTTCTGGATCCAGAGATAAACTAGTCTCTGTCAGAGAATAGTGTGTTTCCTTTGTTTTTCTTCATTTCTAATTCCTTTTCCCTTATTTTATAAAAAGAGAAATGTAAAACGATTGCTAAAATTTTTTTGACGATCATTAAATGATTTTGCCTCGGGACTGTTCATAAAAGTATTTTATGTGTAATTTACTATATTCTACATAACTTTTATTTTATTAACTTATTTAAGTTGCTAATTTGGTCTTTTCACTTTTTTTTTATTGACTAAAAAAGTTTAATATGTGAATAATATAAATAAAATAATTACTAAAGAAATAGTTTTTTTTTAATAATATGATATTATGTACATTAAATGGTGGAGAGAGTGAGTTAAGCTTCACAATGAGGCAGTTATAGTAATTTGGTTCGAATTCACTTTGACTGTAATCGAATTTAGGATCTCTTACTTACAAAAGATTTTTCAATGTACCGAAGACACAGTGTAATAATACAATTGGTTGAAAACTTTAAAAAAATTTCAAACAATTGTATTATGACACTTGGTGTATTGGGTCGTGTTTACAAAACACTGAAAAATTTCTCCTCACTTAAAGTCAGAATGAATACTACACTAAGTGTGTGATATCCCGTCCCCAAAATTATTATTTTATTTTATTCTTGACGTATTTCGAAGATTTGATTGGAACTAGTTCTTTATTTCTCCAAATTTAAGAAAACGAAGTGAGGGGTACATTAGTCATTTCTAATTCTCTCGACCTTTTTGGTCAACTCTTGAATTGGTTAGGTAGAGTTCGATTCCATGAGCGCGTAGGCGCAAACAGATCTTATTTCCAAGTCCGAACGGAGAAGTTAGAGTCGTTTGAAGTTGATGGCATTTTGGTTATATTACCAAAATGCTATAAATTGGGGGGATTTCAGAAAATGGGAAGGGGGAAACGGCACAAAACCATTTTAGGGGGAAATTTGACCCATTAACCCACCAAACTTGACCCGCTTGTATCTTTTTCATCCGACTCCGTTTTGGATGATTTTGGTGTCCCTGGAAAGCTCTTGACGAGCTCTACATCTCTGTGATTTTATATTTTCCCATTTCTTTTTCCATCCGTGCAGTTCGAGGTCGCAAAGTCCACGACCTTGCTGGCGGATTTATCATCTTTCCGGCGATTCCGGCAACGATTTCCTTCGAATGAGGTATGAAACTTCATCTACTCTTCATAATCTTCAAGTGGGTATGCTTAGTTTGTGCTTTCGTATTCATTTTAGAGTTGGGTGTTTAGAACACCTAGAAATCCGGTTTTCTCCGGTGAAATTGGACTGTTTCCGGTTAGAATTTATCGCCGGCCTAGTTGTGAAAAGTGTTTCCCTTATTGAGCTCTAGCTACCACGTAAATTTGAGCTCATCTAGTTAATGTTGAAATTCGGGGTTTGTAAACCCTCCATCTTGGCTTCCACCGCGTGTGGCAGTGCGTGGGATCGTTCCCGAGTGTTGTCTAGGTTTTAAATACCTTCTAGTGACCATGTGAACCTATGTCTAGCTTGGTTTCCAAAGATTCAATTTTTGGGTGTGTAGATCAAATTTCTTGATCAAGGGTTTGGTTCAAATGTCAATTTGTTAATTTTGAGTCATGTTAGTTTTGGATGTTGTATACATGACTTCTGGACTACCGGGAAGTATTTTGGGATGTGTTATATGAATTGGAAGTGGGTTGTTACGTAAGTTGTAGAAAATTGATTTCTTTGCAAAGAAAACTCAAGTTTCGGGTAGCCTTCTTTGGCTCTTAATTTCTAGGCCTTTATGTGCTCCTTTGGAGAAAATTTTTAGTGTGTTGAAAGTACATATGCTCATGATCGTAACCCAATTGTTTTCACTCAATTTCGTTGAGTTTTGGTTGATCAAAACCTTCTTTAAGTTTGGGTCGCGGGCTGCCAAACAGCAGCAGAAAATTGGGTTTCCAATTTCAAGACTCCGTTTTTCCTTTTGGCATAACTTCCAATTTAGAGCTCCGTTTTCTACAAACTTTGTATGCTTTTAAAGTACAGAACACAAGCTTCAAAACCCATATAATATCACATGATTTGGTTTAGTTTGGAATGTCCCAAAGGGAGCCTAAACTTGGTCTAATAGTGCTGTTTCTGCAGATTTTGTGGAGAAGTAGAGTACTTTTTTTTTTTGCCACACCTATTTTCTTTTCCAGTTTCCCTTCTAATCTTCTTTACTACTAATTGAGTGATATTATTTGAGTGGTAGATCCCATAATCAGTTTACTTTCTTTAGATAATATTAATTTTGTTCCTTTGAAGAGCCTAATCGGAACACAAAAGTACAATCAAGAGTATAAATGCAAGTAGCACACATTACTAACCAAACTAAGCTATTAAAATGTGATTTCTTTTATAATTGGCCATCGATCTATTTTTATTAAATGTGGTTTGATTATGGATGGGTAATATTGTGGAAAAGTGATTCGAATTGCATATTGAAATGTGAATTATATATATACATACGCCATAGACCCATGTTAATTAAATGTGAATTCTATTGAAGTGTTATTTTATTTGTGGCCAGTGATCTATTTTCAGTAAGTATGATTTGACTTGTGGATTGGAAATATGGTTTGTATTGTATGATTGGATTGATGTGATGAAATGCGAGAGCTAGTAGTGGACCTTTAATCCATTGTTATGGGGTTTGTTGCTTCGAAACATGTTTCAACCCTCGTGTCATTATTCATTCTCGTTTCATTGAGTCTTTGTACCTTGAGTAACTTGATCCATGTCTTGTTTTATCGATTGGTGTTACACATTCTACTCCGCGATTTCGTTGAGTGATGGTCCGAAATCGTATCCTGGTTTGGATTCCGTTGAGTGATGGTCTGGAATCCATCTTACTCCACTCCGCGATTCCGTTGAGTGACGGTCCGGAATCGTATCTTGGTTTAGGTTCCGTTGAGTGATGGTCCGGAATCCCTCTTACTCCGCGATCCCGTTGAGTGATGGTCCGGGATTGCATCCACCTTAGTTCATGGAGTTTAGTTTGAGATGGTTGCAAAGTGTAGGTTTTGGATGAACAGTGTCGCCTAATTCTACTTTCATTGTGTGTATGTGAATATGGGTGTGAGATGTTATGGTCGTTTAAAATGAACTTTTGGATGTCTGGGTGCCTCCCTCGGAGTTTTCAAAAGTTTGGTATTGATTTCCTATGAAAGATTTATATTCAAGGTTTATAAATTATGATTGATGGCTGGTTTTATTATTGTATCACATGCTTATTTTATTGTCCCTCACCCGAGAGTCTCAGCTTATCTGAGTGCCTGAATTACCAGTGCACCAATTCCATAATATTGGCATTGACTTTACATATGACAGGTTTGGGTGGATTATGAGAAACTGCTTGATATTTTGGTTCCGTTGAGTGGTCCGGAACCCAATGTTGTTGGATTCCGTTGAGTGGTCCGGAATCCTTGCTCTTGTTCATTCCGTAAGGTGATTTAGAATCCTAAATTCGAGTAGATGGGAATTACCCACAATAGATATTGTGAAAATAAATTAGAATTACCATGTTATTATTCTTAACCCAAATTGGGAATTATGTAGAGTTCTTTAATTAAATTCGTGAAATGATATGTTACCTCATTGATTGATTAACGTAATTCAATGTTAATATTGTACTTTGTGATTACTTGATATGTTACAAGCTATGTATTGAAATATAATGTTGGAAGTATAGTGATTAGTATGATGAAGTGAAATGTGATGTAACTTGGGTATTGGAAATGGTTATGACACATGATTGTAATGCATATTGAATTGCTTGGGAGATGTGAGGTCTAGTAAATGACCGATGACCCACTGTGATGTGGATTTTACTCAAATATTACTTCGTTTCGTTGAGTTTCGTGAATTGGGTAACTTGAATCATGTCTTGTTCCTTCGACCCGTTGTTATGTTTCTTGGACTTCCGTTCAATTCGGTTGGGTGGATTGGAACTGAGTTCTGTTTGTATTCCGTTGAGTGATGGTCCGGAATCCCCTTTGGAGCCTTGGTCCGTTGTGCGATCCAAAATCCCCTTTTCCAAAGATGTAGTCTTCAACTGAATTGTGTTGCTCTAGCCTTGCGTTTCGACTTGTTGTATGTGTTATTGATGTTGTGATGGTTGATATTATTGATTGATGTGATCATGGAATGACGTTGGATATGAGTGGAGTTATCATGAGTATTTTAGTTGATTAATGTTTCTAGAGATTAATATGTTCTTTGTTAATTCTTAAATATGTTACTCGCTATGAAACGCGAATTTATGTGGAAAACGTGAGGAATTTATGTGAGGGTTGAAGTGGGATATGTTAATCGTCATGTGGGATTGTTATGTTGGATACCATGGTTATTGTTATGACTAGACTTGTTGATGAATGTGGCTAGAGAATGGTATTATACATCGTTGGTTCTTTGAAATGATATATGTTGTGAATTGCGGTATCATGTTGTGACATAATGGCCTATATATTGATGGAGGGGAAATCATGATTTTCAGATGGGTTGTTATGTAACCCTGAGTCTAGTATTTTCATGCTTGTCAAGTTCTATTGACTGATTGAGAAATGTTATACCTTTCGACTTAATCGGACTGTGTTATGTGTCAATTATTGTGCATGACGAACTACGAATGGCTTGATCCCTGTCTAGGGTACGTAGGCAGTCTAACAGGGAGGTTAGATGCAGCCATAAAGCATACGAAAATAACTATGTGGTTCGATTATTGGGTTGTGCTTGGCCATATCCCGGAGGTGGAATATGATAGATACGGATTTTTGTTGACGCCACGTGTCAATTCTGGACGTATGTCGGGATTGGGGCGTGACAAAGTGACTACTAAATAACTTATTTATATATTTGATTTGTAAAAGTTTAGGGAAAATGAAAGCTACTTCATCCCAAGGTCAAGCATACCACAAGACTCCTATTTACAAAAGGGGTTCTTAGGCTATTTTTGGTTTTTACAGATTGTCCACCAATAAGAGT